TAGCATTAGGTCAGAGCATCTATGTACAAAGTTTCATCAAAATCCAATAAATGGTTCTTTAGATATCAGTGGAACAGTCATAGAACAGCTAAAAATTAGCTAATTATCATGCAAATTAGGTAATTAACGAGCATGGATTTTTACCAAAACCTAATCAAATCTGCGCATTGGCCCAGAGCATCTATCCAAGTTTCATCAAAAACCGATGTATGGTTCTTGAGATAGCAGTGGAACAGTCGGACACACACACATGCGTGCGCGCACACGCACACACACGCACACACGCACGCACGCACGCACGGACGCGAGTCAAAAACATCGTATTTTCAACATTATTTGACACAATACCACAATTTTCAACTCAAACCTTGAATTCAAAGGTAGGTAATTGTTGAAGGTAAAGGAAATGAATGCAAGAACTGGGATATCTACATACAGGGTAATTGCATCAATAATGAATGCAAGAACTGGGATATCTACATACAGGGTAATTGCATCAATAATGCAGAAATTCCACAATTATACACAACTAATAATATAATCAATTTAATTTATAAATATTTATTTATTTTAAAAAAAATCATTTACTCATTCAGGCTTCTAAAGAATACATGTATTCATAATGGTGTAATGCCTACATCAGGCAATGTCTACAGCTAAGTTCTTGCAAATGAAAATACCATATTTGCTTTATCAGAAGCGCAAATAAATGTGACTTACGGTAGTATGACCATAGACACACCTGTCATTTACTTATATTAAATAAAAGCACAAGCCCTACGAATAGAGCAAATATGGTACTTGAAATGAAGACGAGGATTTAAATTTTAAGCAAAAACTAAATTAATTAAATTATTGCACAATAAACAAAAGCAGAAGCCCATGTAGATTAAAATAAATTAGAAATTTAAAACAAATTGACATAAAATTCATTACATCTCATAATAGTAACTTAATCTTAAAACTTTGATAATATTAATAGACTATTTTACGCTCACTGCGAGATCCTGTGCTATGCATGAATGTTCTGTTACATTGTGTGAGATTCAGCAAATGCGGAAGTATTTTGGGGGTATTTCCACACTTTCGGTAATAATATGAGGTTATTATGAGGATACCTCAAAGTATGTACGAAAACAGTACAGCGGGAGTATTGTCTGAGTGCATACTTTGAGGTATCCTCGTAATAATCTTATTGTTATACATCTTTTCCTTACAAGGATACATCATGGGAATGCCGAAATCCAAAAAGTTTGGAACAGAATCAGCAAACTTTTTTGTGTGGCAGCCATGTTTGTTTGTTTGTTTGTTTTTATTAGAAGACGCTTACGCGCGTAATCATCCCATATTTGGAATTCGCATTTCCTTATGTGGTAGGATGTGTGTAAAATACCGTAAAATTACAGCACGCTGTAACTTATGGCGTTAAGGTAACAGATGTATAATAATGTCTTATCCACATTTTGATGAAGTAAGGGTATCTCAATGCAATATTCCCTTTAGAAAAATTGACATTTCAACATTGACATAAATAAAGAAAATTCAAGTTCAAAGCCAAATCAATCATTCGATCCGCACTTTCCACGCAATACGAGAGATATCGCAGTGAACAGAAAATCACCTATTGATGGCAGTTCAGGTAATTAAAATAAATTGGAAGATTGTTGCCAATGTACATCAATCTTAATTCTAATATTAATGATTTCTAATATTGTGTATTTCTTGTTTTTCAGCCTAAGATTTAACTTTGAAAACAGCATTATTTTTTTAAACCAAGTACGGTACTGGAATGTATTACCCTGTGTAATGTCTGGATTCCAAAATCAATATACCAATATGTACCATAGGACCAATATAGAAATAATCTTAATTAGGTAAACTAATTAGTAAAGTAATTAATTGTTATCTCAATTAAAATCTATGACTACTTTTGGCATCTACCATCAAATATTGTGGCTTCAGGGCTAGTTTGCATAAATAAATGTTATCACAGTTTAATAAAGGTGATAAACTAAACAAAATCATTTTTAATACTCAAAAACTATCTCGTTTAATACTAGGTGCAGAAAGCACGATCACAAACGTTGTGAATTATTTGCATATATTATGTTAGTGTACTCAATTTTAACTTTACAGGTACCTTGGTTGGACCCATATCAAATTTGTTTATTCTGTCACAACTAGACTTCAGTTTACTATTTCAAATGACTATTTTTCTCATTATTAATAAACATTACTACTATTTTCAACTTTTGCTTTAAGGATGATCAATACAGTTTAACATAACTTTTGAGAATTTACATATTTTTGGTACAAATGGTAGATTATACCTTTACAATCTATTAGAAAAATGGGGGGGGGGTCATTACCTTGTTTTAGGAAAAATTGTATGTTTTGATTACATAGACCTCATAAAAAGTAAAACACTTTTCAAGTAACAAAAAATACTGTTTTTGAAACTCAGAGTACCGATAATGCTTGGGTTTGTAGCGAACAAGATTTTCTACGAAAAATAATGGGTCATGACCTTGAAACTTGAACTGTATTGAAGATCTTTAACTTTTTGAGAACTAAAGGGATACATTTTATACACTACAACTACTTCTTTTATGAATTATGTAATGAAAAGTGGTCTCTTGGAAGCCATTTTAAAATTTAAAGAAAAAAAGGTTAAAATCTGTATTAATAACTTAATAGTTTTAGTTTCTCGCGACCATTCATTGAGAAGACAAGACTTGTGGCAAAAGTGCAGATAAACCTTTTGTCAAGAATAGTTTAAAAGTTTAATATAAACCTCTAATTCATTCTTCAACATTAAATATAAAAGTTTATTTTTATTCTTTGGCAATCTAGAGTTGTAAATAACCCTTGGCAGGTCAGGTCACGCTCTTCCAGTCTTAGACATTTTCAGACTTAGATCGTTCATCATTATCTCCTCGGAATCATCCTCAGAATTGTCCATTATGTCGGCACGTATGCGGTGATAAAGCGGAGTGGGTCGTGTGCTGCAGGCGCACTGACATCTGTAGCACAGGATCAAAAAGTTACACACTATACTGATAATCGCTATGGTGACACTGATACATAATCCAATGAAGTAATAGTTTTTTTGTAGTGGCACAAACTCCACCAAATGCTGCTCTTCTATGATGTCATTTGCAATACAGTGAGATGCTGGGAATGAAACAAAAATAATTTCATTCTAGATTATTAAAAAATTATAAAATTAAAGGGCGGCAGTCGTCGTGCCACGTCCTGTTCGATATGAGACTCATAGCAACGTATACAACGCGTGTAAAATACATTGTTTATTTACATGAAATTCGAACATGCGCTGCACGACAACCACCAGGCTTTAAGGCAAGACACAAACAAAACCCGACGACCACCCTGACTAAAAGACCAATTTAATTGTTTTTATTTTTAGTGCAATAGAACTAATTTCTAATTTTAGCTATTATTAAAAGATGATAAACTGAATTAAATGTAAAAACCTGCAAATATTAGGGTGCACTATATTCAGACCTACAAATGATGACCTTTGTTTTGACCTTTGACCCAAGTATGACCTTTACTTATTCCATGCACTTTGTCACAGCTGATTCATGATATTGGTCATACTAATAAATATTCTGTATGGTCAGGGCCGAAGGTTTCAATCTTTTGTGTGAAAAACAATAATATAATAATAGACATAGTAACATCTGCTAATATCAGTTTAATTAGTGATCAAATTTTGTTTAACATGCTTCGGCAAGCATACAGTATTTGCTCTATTAGTAGCACATGCACTTATGTATAAAACGACAGAGGTGTGTCTACGGTCATATTTCAATAGTTGAGAAATAAATGCAACAACAATAAAAAAATGCAAGTTTTGTTTTATGTGCATTGGAGATGTGCTTCGGATATGGATCACCGTCCCTCAACACAACACGGTGTATGGATCAATAGCCAATAGTATATCACGTCCATTTTATTACATGTCAGGAAATTGGTATATAATACATGTATATTCTTATAATAATTTGGTTTTGTCATAGATTATTATATCATGCACAACAATCCACCCACAGATGGCAGAGCCACGCCCAATCCATAACCCCCACAAACTGGGGATAATTGACACAGTTTAGTAAATATATTTCAGCTAAAATATTTTTTCAAAATTGATGCATCTAGGCTGTTTTTAAGGTACCGGTAATGAATATGTCAGAAACCTCTGATGGTTTTTTTGTATTTACTGATTTCGAAGTTGAATAGAACTTACATTAGTGACCTCAAGCTGTGACCTATTGGACACTGTTGTTATCTCTGCCATAGAGGGCATACTTTTTCCTGATACAAATCAGAAACCAGGTTTGTTTGTTTGTTGTTTTGATACTCACCTTGAAAGAGATCATAGTTGTAATTTTCCAAATATGAAATATTACAATTACCAGTGACAGGGTGACAAGTACAGGAACTATCATAACATGTACATGGATATTTACAACTGTTGCCATAGAAACCATATGGGCATACTACAAACAAAAAAAACAGATGAGAAAGTGGAAAACACAGAAAACCAAAAAATGGTCATTTAGATATATAAATTGGACAGGTAACCATGCGAAAATTTCATCATCGAGTTGAAAATTTTGTTTTCCCTGCAAATTATGTTTTCATGCATCACTGATAGTTAAATGGATACTGTGAAATAATTTATTTATTTCAGCTGGAAAGACTTTTTGGGTGTTTTGTATGGAATTTATTTTCACTGATTTTTGACGAGTTGAATGTAAAATATAGGAAAAAAGGTATTTTAGCTGGATTTTATTTTCACTGAATTATTCCTTCAGTAAAAATAGCGAAAATTAATTCCAAGCAAAAATAAAGTATTTTACAGTAGTATAGACCAGCATATTCAATTTTTTCAAATTACTCTGAATTTATAATTTGGATGCTGTTCCCAGTGAATGGTCAATTTGGAAATAACAGTTACAGTTTTACTTACTACAGTCATACTTACATTGTTCACAGCTGTCTCCTGAATACCCAGAATCACAAAAACACTGTCCAGTTGTAGTATCACAGATACCATGCTTGCATCTACATTCCCCAATGCACTTGTCGCCATATGTTCCTATAGGACACCGTTCCTCACAGCTAGAGCCAGTCCAACCTGGATCACATATACATCCATCTAATAAAGTCACTTTCATAAAAAAACAAAATCATTGGTGTGTTAATGTTAGATGTGTTAGCATTAGATGTGTCAATGTTAGGTGTGTTAACATTAGAAGTGTTAGCATTAGGTGTGTTAGCATTAGATGTGTTAACGTTGGGTATGTTAACGTTGGGTATGTTAGCATTAGGCGTGTTAGCATTAGATGTGTCAACGTTAGGCGTGTTAGCATTAGATGTGTCAAAGTTAGGCGTGTTAGCATTAGATGTGTCAACGTTAGGTGTGTTAACATTAGAAGTGTTAACATTAGGTCTGTTAGCATTAGAT